ACAATTTAGCCAAAGCAAAGATTTTTCCAAAAAAAAAAAAAAACTTTTGGGCACTGTTAAGAGTAATCCTAATTTTGTGTATAGTGATTACGGGCACAGGCATATGGGACACCAGCTATTTACCAAAAGGCATTGCCCCACATACTAACCTGCATAGTGATTAGAATATAAAGACATCGTCACCACGTCAAAATTCAAAATGTTCAGTTTTTGTTTAATGGAAAGCACATTTAAATGCAAAAGCAAACTCTTATTTTAAATTTTAAAAAAATAAAAGAAAGAGAGAGAGAGTGAGACGACCTCTGCGCACAATTCCTCGTACATTTATTTCACAAATACTTAGCTTCTCTTTTATTTTAGCGCAAAACATCGAAAAATAACGTAAAATACATATTAGAAAAGAAAACAGCAGGAATTGCGAATTTATGGTTTTCATGTGATGCCGACAATACAATAGTATTCATAGAATGCTTGCCCTTCGTCACTTCATATTTAGCCAGCATTCTCTAAGCATGAAGTTATATGATAAGGAAGTTATCTAAAGGCATCTTAAAACTGCGTTCTGAAATATCTTGACACGTCTTTATATTGCGTTCTGAAATATTACGCCCTTGAAACAGTACCATGTTGTGCACAGAAATAATTTGCATGCAAAGTATATGGTTGTTTTTATTATTCTGCGTTGCATGCTCTGAATGTTTTATGGCTTTGAACACGATGTTCCATATGCCAGTAAACGGTACCTCAAAATAAAAGGCAGGAAACACGCAGGAATTTCTGTTTGAGATGCACTGCACAGAGAAATTGTAAACAGACGTGTCGGATGTATTAATTTAGTTATCCACCTTCGCATGTAGGTATGTGCATTCGGATCACGAAACTAATTGGCATTTACTTTGGAGTCAGAGAAACATACAGCCAGTTTATCAAGCTTTTATACCTCTTTTCGAGGTCATTTTTAATTGCTACGTAGATCGACAAGATAAAAGCGATATTGATATTCCCAGTGAAATATATCACAAGAAATACTTTTTGATGCTTTCTAATTTTGCTTTGGGGTAACAATTTCATAATTCATGTCCATATGCTGACAAAGGAAATTTTTAAGTGAATTTTAAGCTAGGAACACTGCCATGTATTCACGTATTTCTAGGGTTTTTCAAAATTCTCTCTTCTCTTAAATATATTTTTAGAAAAGCAATCAGATTGAAATATTTTTGCAAAGAAATCCCTGAATTATATGCTAAAGAAATTTCCCTTTTTAAGTTTATTTGTTAAAACTAGTTGAATAAAATAGCTATATAAAAGATATATTTCTCAATGACATCAATTTTTTACAGTTCATTTGAAGATAGGGCAGTTGTTTTTACTCAAATGCATAATATTTACAAGAAATTAAGAAACCAAGAGATATTATTATCAATAACATCTTAAATGTTTCATTTATTACATTGAATGGATTCATTAGCTTAATAATAAGGCTTTTCAACTTTTCGGCAGAAATTAATTTTAATCTTTGAAAGAAACAAAATAACACAGAACTATTTAAGTCTCTATAACGAAAATATTTCAATGCAATTTGTACTGCATACAAGCTTAATACATACCAGGCGACAGCATAAAATTCCACTTTTAGTAAATTGAAATTCATGTTGAAAGTATTCGTTTTGAATTAAGTTATTAAATTAATACACATTATTTTATAAAATAATAATCAGAAAAATAGGCAGAACATTAAAATTATGTTGCACAAAAATTGAAATTTCTAAAACATTTATGGTGGAAAACTGACATAAAACTGAACACACTGAAACTGTAATTGAAATGACAAAATTATTCATTTTTGTAAATTTTATTGAATATATTTTTCTTTTATGTACATTTATACTAGTATATATACGTGTTTGCATATGTATTATATGTCTTTACAATATTATTATAAATTTATACGTGTTTATAATACCACATGTTAGATTCTCATTTGAGGAACTTTTCATAAAAGTATAAAATCAGAGTAAGCAACTAAGTAAGATTTCAGCTGAGTAACCAAATATTTCCATTACGTAATCAAATAAAGGCTACCTGCCTCTCTGATTGAACAACATCGTGAATGTCATCAGAAAATCATCTAGAAATATACATCAAGTAGAAATTACTATACAAATAGAAATTGAATAAAGTTTAAAAATTACAAGAATATTTATCAAAAACTATGTCTGCCATGAAGAATCTGAGGAACGTTACGCCATGAAGAAAGCAAAATATCGTGAACATGTTAAGGATAAGCCACTTTCCAGTAAAAGCAATATTCCAAAGGGCTTAAGTTGAGCAGAATCATGTTCTCAAGCGCTACAATTACTATAACCTTATAATTAATCTCATTTTTAATTACAGAACATTGGCAATCAAACACAGTTTTTCCTCACATCTTATTCGGAATTATGATAGCTAGATGAATACGGGAATCTTTTCCTTATCCAATATGTTACATATAGCATGGTATTATATCCCAACATTATCTTTATTCTTTTCTCGACCAAAGGAATACTGATACTTTTAAGTCTGAAAATTTCCATATCTTCCTAAACACGATTACAACTTGTACAAATAGCCGTTTCAGGGCAGTTAAATGAAGGTTGATAAATGTATTTACTATTTCAGGCGAAACAAAAGAAAGCATAGCGTGAAGGTGTTCCTGATTTTTTAAAAGGCATAGTTTCCTGTAATTAAACTTAAAAACAAACTAACAAAAACAGTTAAGGAAATTCATGTAAACTAATATATTAGTTGAATATTGTTTAAATAATTATCAAGTAAAATAAATAAAATTTTCGCAAAATTATATTTAGAATGTATTTATAATAACGCATTTATAATAAGTGGATGAAGCAATAATTATATTTTCTCCTATGCCGCAGCTAAATTCTAAATATTTTCTGAATTATACTTTGCATATTTTAAACTTTTTTCGTGAGCACTAAAAGCTGTTTAACTCAAATCGTCCAATGATACAATTTTGCGAAGAAATAGTTTCAAATCATAAAAGTCTCAGAACTTTTTTCTCTAATTTCATATGGAATTCAGTCTTTCAAATGGTGATTTTTACCGATTACTAAAACATGTTTTTTTTAAGATTTTATTACTTTTTTTTAATTTATGTTCATAAATTTAAGGAGAGATCTCTAAGAACAACAGGTGTTATTCTACAGTGAATAATTTAATGATCTGAACTTGAAAACTTTTCCTTACTTTTCATACTTAATCGGCTGCTAATTATAAATCAAACTTCGTACATGCACGTTTACTCTTTCAATCAATACAACAGTGAAAGTCACCTTCAGACAACAAAACGGCATCCCCCAATAGCCACACGCGCGCAGCACTTTTCATTATTCATCATCTGATACACGAAAAGTTTTCGTTGCAGGACAACGAAGCAAACTTGGAATGCCCAACTAACGACTGCTTTCCCACATTCATTGATCTTTTCCGATTAGAATATCTCGTGTGTGCGGGTCGCTATGCGAAATATGCAGAACAGAATTACGTTGTCCATTTTCGTCTACGTAGCGAAACGTTCATTAGCGCCAAGGACACGCGCTGATAGATGGCAGATCGCGAGCTTACTCAACTATTAGGAGGTCTCCGAAGTATGCTAAAATGGGTGACAGGATGATGTTATTCTACCAATCGGAAAGAACAACTAAAAATAAGAAAACATATTTTTAAGACAGAAGAAAAGTTTAGAAGACAGCAGGCACAGTTTTCAACTCTTGTAATTATCGATTTAATTCTAGACAGTAAAATACTTCAAACAAATATAATTCGCAGAAATAATGCATGCTTGCGTGGAGAAAGCGAGGTATCACTTTCAACTAAGTCTGCATGCCTGGCTAAAGGAATGTTTTCAAAATATATTACTATTTTTTTCGGAGCATGTATAAATAAAATGTGTAAAAAATTGAGTGGAAAATGCTACAAGAAATGTCATACAAATTTCATTCCATAATATCAGTTAAATTCAGGTTTTGTTTCATGAAAAAACTTGATACAACAATAGCCATAGGAAATTAAAAGTAACAATCCCAAAAGAATTTATAATTTTTCTACCATTACTCCTCCAGCGTACTTATTTGGAAGGCTTCAAGAGCAAGTATGAGGACCCAAAAGATAGTTTACTATTCTATCCACAGGAGCAGTTATGTTGTTAATTACTTGTAATTCTATCAGCAGGAGTAGTTATGCTGTTAATTACCTGTAAGTGTTTTAAATTTTCACCTAAATGATTTCTTTTCTGCTTTTTTAAATTAACGAACTTTCGTTAACAAAGGAAATCGTGAACATATTATATTTGATATGTCACTTTTTCATTTCAAATAAGAGTCACGTACCCAGGCTCATATCATTAGCCAAAATAGCACTGAATATGCATCAGCAAGTTACATTTGCAACATGGGTATCTACGATTGTTGTCGCTCACGCAACAACTGATCATTGTTCAAAATGATCTGAGCAATGTTTCGGTCAATAACTGACCAGTGTCCAAACCGATTGTGAAGTTTTTAAATTCGAGAAAAAGTAGCATTATTTCCATCAACTGCTTGGAGGAAACAACTACTTACAACAGCAAATATCCAGAAAAGAAAATGTCTTAAAACCATCCAATATTAGCATTATTATTGATGCTGCAATATCGTCGAAGGCTGGAAGGACAGCGAGCAGCTTTCGGCAATATATTCAGTCTGGTGTGTACAGTTGTGCATTGTTCTTCAGTTTGGATACTTTCCAGCGACACTACCTCATTTTCTTTATCCATAATACTGTCATGCCACCCTTAATCAAACGTGGAGTCTCATTTCTGGCCCACCGTGTATGTTTGTTGTTAGTTTATCTTGTTAAACAATCTAATTTTGCGTCAAGCTCTGGATTAAAACGTTACAAATACTATTCTTACAATTACTTCTTCTATACAAATAAGATGCGTCAAAGATTATACTTACGTCAGAATCGACGCCTTTGTCAACACCCGGGCACTTAAAAGTGACGAACTCATGGCACCTTTTATGAACCACGAAACTACAAACTGCAAGAACATAAGGGAACATATTAATTTGCAAAATCGATAAACAAAAACATAAAAAATAACTTTACATATCATAAATTAATCATCCAAGAATAGCATCTAAGACATAGAATTTATGGAATGTAAATATATTAAACAAATCTATAGATCTGAATTCAACATTTTTATTCAGATTTTTTTCGTAAAATTAATTTCTGTTATTTTAAATTCAGTCAGATGTTTAACATTCAGTATAAATTTAGTGTATAATATTTAATAATGTAATTTAATAATATAAGTATGGTACTTTCAGATGTAAAATAGGTAAACAGGGTAATTCAAACGACAGTAAAACATTAAACAACTTGGTTTTAAATGAATTTAATGCAGTAAGCCTAAACATGCATGAAACTAAAAAAAGAGGGCTCGAGAAAATTCATTGCGTGACTTTTTAATTAAAATAAGTCCATTAGATGGCGTTTAACCTTGGAATTTTAAATACACTACTCTTGTTTTGAACTAACCACTGTTAAATGTCGGCATTACGCTGACGTGCTTTAAAACATTATCTCTAAAATGGTAAAAAAAGCAAGTACTGAATTGGAGACATTCTTGTAGAATAAAACGTTTTCGATTCTTCTTCTTTCTTACTTCAGTTTTTGACTAAAATGAAATTATTAGCTGTCATTTTCAGTATGAATGATCACACAGAGATCTCCAGAACTCACTGATTTATGACACTAATTCATATGACACTACAATTATGACACTAAATCTCGACTACGCATAAATAATCTAATGTCATTAGCAGTTATGAAAAATACTACGTTAAGGATTGTATCAATGAGTGCTGTTTGCGCTGAGAGCTTACAAACACTAAACTGTGCTTCGTAATGAGCAAGTTAGCACGCTCAGCTATTAAAAGTAGGAGATTCTTGGTTTGAATGGCGGCAACAGTGCATTTGATTTTTCACATTTGCTGCTTCGAAAAATCACACTTTCCATGTTTAATTTTTTTAGAGATGAAATAACGTCTAGTGAGGCTAACTGTTTATTATAACATAATACTATTTTAAAAGGGCTAGGGTATTTAAATGCAATACGTGTAGAGATTTTACATCATTTTAACGTGAAAACAATTTATTCAAGAGTAGTTTCAATGAAATAATAAATGTTTATGTTCCACAATGCATTTCTAAGAAATTATTATATTTTGATATATGAAGATCGTGTCTTTTTAAACAACTCTAACATCCTATATCGATGCAGTAAGCAATAAGAATTCGATAACAGTGCCAGCAAAGCTAAAACAATTAAACGTTAAATTAATAAATAATAAGTAACACGAATTGGTGCAACGTGAGTAACCCTGTAGGCTCGTGGCTGCAGCAGAACCTTCTTCTTCAGCTGCGGATATGTAAATGATGAAAAAAAAAGAGATTTTTCTTTTTAACTGTTCGATTAAATTTGCACCATAAAAATTTCGATAGAGTTTATTAATAAATTCTGAAGTAGTTTTTGTAAAATTTTTACCCCTCCATATCAATTTATCATTATAAATTACTTTCATTCCCTATAAAATCTTTATTTACCGAATTTCCAATGGCAAGTGCACTGAAATATCCAATAAATAAATTTCCTGATTTACATTCCTCATATTTGAAAATTGGTGAGTTTATTTCATTCACTTAACTGCTTCTCAAAAAAGGACTTTCGTTTTCCAAAATAATTGCAATTATTTCCACCAAAGTAAATAAATGAATCAGTCCCATTCTTTTTTAAATTTGCGTATATTATTGTAAATCCAAACTGTTTAAAATATTAAACTTTCCAGTCAGGTTTACCTATATTTATAAATAATTTTGCTCCTAAAGTATAAAAAGAAACAATAATAAGATTTAGCGAAGATTCTTATCGTCGGGAATTCAACTGGTCCTGCTTATTTAGTTAGCTTTTGAACTCGAGACATCTAATTCTTTTCCATTTCTGATCACATGCATTGAATCTAACTTGCCATACCATAAATCTTCATTAATTTGCCTCCACGCACCATCTTGTTGTTCTCCTAAAAAAAGTGAGCTTCATTTTATTTTTTCATTTTCATTCAAAGCTTTACACTTCTAAGTCTGCTCTTGGCCAAGAATTCAACTAGTAAGAGCTGTTGCAACTGACAGAGATTTTTCAACTCGAATTATTAACCACGCCTCTAAAAACGTAAAAATGTTTTCATCTCAATACAAAGAAAAGAGAACTATTTTATATTAAACAATTATAATAATTCAATAGTTACTCATTTCTTCCTCATTTATCAGTTATAAAATTGCACATGATTTATATAATGAGGAATAAGAAGAAAAAGATTAAATCAAGTCTAATCTTCATTTCATTTTTTTTATCTACCAGCAAAATCCACATTTCAATGCTTAAAGACTCTGTTTCGGATGTGAAACAGTGCGGCTTAATGCTTCAAACATGAACAGCCTTGAAAATTCGCATTTAAGATCAGGAAACGTAAATTTTAAAATGGAAATTTACGAATAGTCCACTGCACATCATTGTTAGTCCAAAAACGTCTATTTCCCGATTTTCTACAGCCAAAATTATTGAAAACATAGATCCGTAGGCGAAAAAATATTTTACATTCATAAAAAAACTTTCAGTTCTTCTTAGTAATCCCAATTCTATTGCTCCCTTGCTGTCAGCTTTTCAAAAAATTGTTTCTTAGTTGGTTTTTATTCACCTTTGATGCCATTGGCTTCGCTTATTATCATTTATTACGGAATGTGTTTCGAAATTCTCTTAATTACCCTCACATAAATATGTAGGTCACTTTTCGCCATTTTTATTGCCACAGCTGAAGTAAGAGATTCTTTTAAACCTTCTTTGCTATAACTCTTTAAATTTACTCATGCCACACGGATTCTTGTTGTTTATTGCTTGTTTTCTTTTTTCTTTTTTTTTTTTTTTTTTTTTTTTTTTAACCTTTAGTTTTTGCATTCTTTTTGCTACAATTAAGTATAGGTTTAGTTTTATTTGATCTGAGTTCAGATCAAATAAAAACTTGACTGATAATTATTGTTATGAAGAAGCGATGATAATTAAAACAAGCTTGCAACAAGAGATGCCGTGGGTCTTTTGTTCCGAAGTTAATGATTTCATTCCTAAATTTTGTTCATGAATTTTTGCATGTTTTAGTCAAGGTTTCTGAAGATGAAAAAATATTATTTGATTCTTAATATTTGTGTAACGAGAAACTTGTGAAGGATTCAAATCAAGGATTTTCCAACTTTCAAGGATTTTCCAACAAAACTAACTAACTTTCCAAGGATTTTTTCAACAAAAGATAAATATATCAACAAATTTTGTCAAATTATATATTTATAAAAGCCGTGGTTTTTAAACAGTATTTTGCCTAAAACTTCTTTTACATTTCAATATTTAAACAAAATTAAAACAGATTTGTATGCTCTAAATTCTTTATTTGATAATGATTTTGTTTTAAATTTTAAAAAGATAGCAGTGGTTTTGATATCGGAGTTTATTTCATGAAAATATTATGCTGTTAAATCATTTATCAGAAATACTATAAACTGAAATAAAACATGAAATATATTTAACAAACATAACATGTCATTTACTGAGGAATAGATTTTCACAAATAAGATATTATACACCAACAACACAATTGTCTACAGATACATTAAAGATAACAATACGTATAAATGGAACTAAAATTTACATTAAGCCGTATTTCACATATTAAAACTATTTATGAATATTATTTGTAGTATACTAAATCTTTCTCTGCACATAAACAGCAAATAATACTAGGAAAATTCATTAAGTTAAGCTGCTCTTAAAATAAAAAGCGGCTGTTTTTGATACAAATAATACTCATAAAAATTTCCAGGCCTTGTCTGCATGCATTTTCAAATTGAAATTTATGTTTACATAACAAATGCAAGTATTTTAATAATACGCTTTTCTTATTTATAGAATATAAAGAGCGAATCTTCCATCTGGCTACTGACTTCTTTATACATGGTCCACATACTACGTGGACTTTTTGTTCATTACTTTCACAGATGGTCCAGATAAAATACAAAATATCTTCCTGTACTAGTTGCTTATTAATATAATTATATTTCAGTTCTATGTACAACGCGTTTCAAAATTATACGAATACCAACTTTATCGTGACCAAAGAACCCCTTTGCTGACATAAATTGTATACTTATATGTAATAATGTAGTAAATTTGCGGAAAATAACAATTCTGTCTAAAATGCGTATGTTGCAAAATCATATGAACATAATGCAGAACTGATTTTTAATAATATTTAACACAGCTTGAGAGCAACCATAGCGCTTTGAATTCGCAAATTCAAATGAAGAAAGTTCGGAAAAAGAAAATTTCTGGATCTGAAAGAGAATAAACATTCAATGATACCAGTAGCTCAGAAACTAGAAGAATTTCTAGGTGTAATTTTTAATTTCCTTCAGTTATAAAGCACTTCATAATTATGTATCTTCAAACCAGCCACAAAAGTTAACTTCGTGGCAGAAAAGATTCAGTGAAAATTTAAAGACCCAAAGTACATCCATAAGTCTTTTAGCCATTGCTGTTAATGGTTATTACCTCAGAGTAGAATTCTAGTTAATTTTCTTCGATATTTTACCTTTGGCGTGTAGTTTTTTAATGTCCAGTAGCAAATTATTAACATTTTTAACTCCATTTTGCTTTGTAACGTGTTTTCATCGTAAGAGGATCCAGATAAAGACAGTCTGCTCGCTCATCACTTATATATCCTACGTTTTAATGGCAAAATCAAGATCGAAGCCCAGAAATTAAATTGTAAGCTATATATAACTTAACTCAATGCTTTACAATTTTCCATTTTCAGTTCACTCATTGTAAGGAATTTTGCATTTAAGAAACAAAAATCCGCTTCTTTTCTATTCATTGCCTTTACGAAATTTCTTTATATATATAGAGAGAGAGTTTTTTGTACAGAAGAAACA